TGCTGGCTGGAGCAGCTCTAGAGTTGGAGAGACTGCTTAAATAGTTCTTTTTGTTGTGCTGCGCACTGTACTTTTCCAGTTTTTATTTTTATTTTAAAAATGTTTTTTGGAACTCTTTTGCCAAGGAAAATGAATAAAAAAATCTAAAGTTTAAGTGCCTTATACTAAGGGCAAAGCTCTAATTTTAAAGTATAGATGTCATCTTGCCGTAAGGAATTGTTTGTAAATCCAGCAAGGGGACTCTAATCCATGATCCGTCTATCACTGAAGATATTTTACGTCAACACTGTTGTTGGTGCGAGTCGGGTGTGGAATTCATATCAACCAGCCATCACTGGGATTCGAACTAAGTGCACCTCATTCGGAGGAGAATGCTCTATCCCTTAAGTCCATTTCCAGGGTCATCCTGTACGTCGTTCCCGAAGATATTACCAGTGAGATATATGACCCTGATCGAGAAAATGAGGGAGCAGAATCTGAGTCTTCAAGATTCAGACATGACTATAAAATTCCCATTTAGAGCGAGATCGGGGATCCACTGGATCCTTGAGCTGGAGCCAACCACTTTTCATAAACTCATGCTTCTTGGTCAACCCAACATAGGGTGGAGTCGCATACGACTCAAGGAATATATCAGAAATAAATTCATAATAAAAATAAATATAAATTCATTAAAATAAAAATAAATTCATTAGAGTTTAGATGAAATCCTCAACAGTACAATTTTATATAAATATAGCTTTATTGTTATCAACATCGAAATATATTTCTAAAAAAGATAAATGAGACTTTGAAAAACTATTACGATTATACAGACCCGCCAGCTTCAGAAAATTTCTAACTCCGAAACTTGACTTACAATTAAAAAAGCTAGTGAAAATACTTTTAATATCTGAAAGGTTGGACGCAATAGTCTGAGAGAATTGTTTTGAATATAGGGTTTACTGGCACAAGGTCTATAAGAGGATGTATTGCACCAAACTTAAGTTGTATCTAAATTATATTTCATACAGATAAACACATTAATGTAAACAAAGATACAAGTTTATTAGTGAACAAAAAATGATAGTGAACTCTGTTGATAGCAGGTTTACACACAGACTTTATAAATATAGATTTACATATCACTCAAAACATATAGAAAATACTAATGTACAACAAAATAGAAATATAAGTTAACATAAAATGTCAGCACTGTAACTATTGACAACAGTTTCAAATTATGATACAAATTATGCTTCATTTAAGTAAAAAAAAATTAATTTATTAGAGTTCAGATGAATTGATCAACTATACGTAACTTACAATTAAAAAAGCTAGTGAAAATACTTTAATATCTTGAGGGTGGACGCAATAGTCTGCGAGAATTGTTTTGAATATAAAGTTTAGTGGCGCAAGGTTTAAAAGAGGATGAATTGCATCAAACAAAGGGTTTTAAAACAAATTAAAAAGTTACGTAAGGAGCATGAATAAAGTCAGGTAAATTAGTTAAAATTATAAAACATTTAAGAGACACGTTTTTAAAATAGCTCAAATTTATTGGTAAATTTACTAAAATGATAGGAAGTGGAAAATAAATTATATAAAACTTAAACAAAAGCTTGAGAGTTGGCAGGTCTTAAAATATATTTACAACTAATTAAACTGTAGGTATTAGTATTAGGAAATTAAAAATAAATTTGGATAATGGTGACTTGAATGTTGCGTTCAACGTAAGCCAAAGCACTGTAGCAAATAAAATATCACTATGAAGGTAATTTTAAAAATTTTGATTTAGACTGTCAAATGCAAATTTTATTCCATAAAAAGTGATAACAGTAACATTTGCCAAATATAAAAGCTGTATAACTAAATATGTATACATACATTAATTAAAAAAAAAAAGAGTTAAGTTTCTAAATTAAAAAATTTCTTAAAAATTTGAATTATATTTATTTGAAATGCATGTGAAATTAATATTATTGAATAAGTAAAATTTAAACACCTATGTGAATACATAGATTAATAAATATGAATGTTACATAAAAAGTTTATGTATGGGATAAGTATGTTCTAAAGAATTCTAAAAAAATTCATGTTGCACTTTCTTATTGAATAAAATAGGAATCTGAGATTTTAAGATAAATTCATATATAACACCTAAAAATATTGTTCCTCTCACATTTTAAAATGAAAATTAGAAATTTAAAATAATATTAAACATAATTTAGAATAGATATATTTAGGCTTCATAAAGATATTTTACTTCATTTATTAAAGGAGGTCGAAAATTAGTAAGGGTTACAACTATTTGCAAAATTTTGGTACTGTAAGGAAAAAGAAAATTGGGTATTAATAGCATGATTTTAAAAACTTTAATTCGCCGAATCGCTCTCTCAACATGAATCCTAGCTCTTGCAATNCAAAATAAATCTGAGTTTAAACTAAAACTCTGTGCAGATTTAACCATATGTATACATATTAAATAAGTTAGTTACATAATTTATTCCTATTTAGTAGTTAAAAACTAAAGCTTATGAGAATTAGCAGCAATAATCAGAAAATCTTAAGCAAACCAAGTTTACAATAACTACAAATTTTATCATCAGACATAATTAAATAAACAGACATTAGTATTGATAAATACGATCTAATTATAGATTAAAAATTATTTTCAGAACGTTGTAAAACAATACATGCCTTTCCATAACTGAAGAAAAAAATGACATGTAGGTCAAGAATATGTAATAAATTCTAAATAAAATAAGACATTATTATAAACATGAAACAAGAGTTAAAAATATTGACGCTTAAATTTTCATACATCAAAATTAAAGATAACTTACCTGATGTTTCTGATCCATATTTTTTTTTCAGCCTCCTTTAATGGAAATGTAAAAAATTTGCATCCATTCTTTTCACTATAATGTTTACAGTCTGGAGCGAAACACATAACTATTTTGAAACTTTTTTTAATTGCATTTAATACACTTAACTCACAAAATCTACTGATATCCCGTATAAACAAAACTACTTTAATTAGGAATAAGTCTCTTAAAAGCGCTATATAATTTTATTTATGTCAATAAACAACTAAAAATCTTGCCGTCTTAAATTGACATAGGAAATGCCATTTAAATGGATCGTTCGACAGAATGTTTGGAACGAAATTGGAAGGACGCATCGTTTGACGTCATGAAATACGTCATTACTGTCCCTGTCTATTATTTTTCCCCACCACGAACACCTTGGAAAGAGTTTCTTGGCTGGAATTGGAATCGGTTTCATTCCAACCAGTCTCCGTCACCTGGAATCGTCGTTCCAAGGAGGGAATGATGAATTTTTAAGGACTAAATACGATATTTCATCGATGAATGTCTTAACTTTTTTCTATTTCCTAAGAGAAGATAACAAAATTTCTAAAAGATAAACGTGCCCAAGCCATTTTCAAGACGATAATTAAAAGAGAAATGTTTTGTTTCATTAGTATGCGTGAACGAAAAGATACTTTCATAGTTAACTAAGAAATTACGGCAAACTAAAAATAATTATGCTCTCATTATATAATAATTGTTACTATTTCTATGTTATTATTACGGGATGTATTACTTGGCCAATACCTTTTTCTGAAGTTCCAATCATTTCTTTTTTTAATTTTCTTCCGATGAGCTTTTAATTCAACAATATTTAACTTCCTTTCGAACGATAGTTCTTTATACTATACACAAATGGCAGCACATTTAAAAGAATTTTTTACAGGCATGATGTATTATAAAGTAAACAATTTATTTATAATAAGAAATACAAAAAAGAATAAAACGTTTCAAAAAATATTTATGAAATTTGTATTTATTTCTTCTCTTACTCATTTTAAAAATTTTTATTCTCATTCTTCCATTAAAATATATACTATAAAAGCTGCGGAAGTAGTTCCCTGAACTGTAATTTTTAAGTATTTCATACGTAAAATGATTTTACAAATCACGAAAAAAAATTTACGCAGTTCTAGAAATTAATTTCTTGTGAACATATTTATTTAACTATCAGTAAAAACAGACACTTTTATGATGTAACAAATAAACCAAAGTAATAAGCAAAGTAGTAACTTTTTAGTAATTTACAATTGTAATTGAAAACTAATGAACTTTTCTGAAATTAAATTAATTTCAAAGAGATCAAGGTAAGCGTTAATTTTTTTGTCTGATAAAATTTGAATTCTTTATGGAAATTAGTTTTGATTTAAAAACCTGTATAATTAGTAATCTATCTACTTGCAGTTCTCAGGCACGAAATTTTGAATCTTAATTCATTAAAATATGATCATTATTTTAAGAGTTGTACTTTTAAAAAAATATTTAAAATAAATAATAAAACGTATTAAGGGATATATCAGAAATATTTATTATGAAAAAATGATTTTATTTTATGAATTATACATGATAAATATGACAGTTTTTAATTAATAAAACTATATGTATAATAAATTAAAGAATATTTCAAAGTATTCGCAGTTCATGTTTTTTTAGTCTAATGAAAACAAAAAACATTATAAAAAGAAAACAATAAGTAGTCAAAAATATTATCTAAATAGCAGAAGCTCGTTTCGTTTTACTCATGCTAATGCTGCCAAACTCAAAAAGAAAATCTAAAGTAAATTGTGTGATTGGTTAAATTTTAGCCACGCCCTGAGAGCGAGTTATCGTGGAATGTCTGATTCCAAGGGAGTGTTCATGGTACGGTATTGAGCATTCATGAAACCAAACTTTCCCAGTTTCACTTTCCAGCCAGGGACCCTACCATGAGCTCCATGGAATGAAATTCCATCTGGGAATGACGTCACGTTCCAACGGGAATTATTTTTCCACACCACGAACACCTTGGAAAGAGTTTCCTGGCTGGAATTGGAATCGGTTTCATTCCAACCAGTCTCCGGCACCTAGAATCGTCGTTCCAAGAGAGAATCGAGGGATTTGTTTATAATTTTAAACATGGCGCTCAGTAATTTATTNAAAGAGTTTCCTGGCTGGAATTGGAATCGGTTTCATTCCAACCAGTCTCCGGCACCTAGAATCGTCGTTCCAAGAGAGAATCGAGGGATTTGTTTATAATTTTAAACATGGCGCTCAGCAAATTATTAGCTCTCGCTCTTGTTCAAGAGGAAATAAATCGAGTTCCTAAGCGAGAAATAATACCTGAAAGATTTCCCGCACTTCACATGAGCGATAAACGTTTTATTTCTCTTTATTCCGTAAATAAACACATTTTTTTAGAGCTTTGCGAAAAGCTTAGACCAATGCTAGCTCCACGAAGTTGCAGAAGAAACGCTTTTTCTGTTGAAACGAAAGTAAGAATTACAAATTGATTTTTTATTTTGTAATATTTACTAATTGAATTGATTTGGTAATCTAAACTATGAATTTTTGATGATCTAAAGCTGACTTTTTACTAGGATTTTTTAATTGTAAATTAAGTTAGTGTGCAATTGTATAATGTTTTGCTTAAAGAATCATAGTTTTTTCTATCTTATTAATTTATTATTAAATTACAATGTTTCACCAACCTAAAAATAATTCACTAATTGTATATATTTTTCTTCTCAAAATTAATTTAAATCAGTAAATGATGAACCGATATTTACACTTACCTACTGATTTCATGAACCGAATTTACTTACTGAAATAATTAACTGCTTATTATGTTACTACATGTGACTGTGAGATAGATTCCAAGTACATTATTTATACATTTTACGGGTTGGTTTTTGATCGGCACTGCATTGCTACTTATATAACTTCATTCAATACAATTCTGAAATATCTTAAGATACTGTAAATGTAGTTGACATTGAAGTTTACAATTAAAATTTATTAAACATTTCAGTATTATTTTCTTGACTGTATTATGTCATCAATTAAATTTTAGAACTTGGAAAAATTTGCTTGTTGCATTTATATTTATTTTCTTATTTTAAAAATATTTCTCTCCTCACTAACAATGTTATTGTTTTTGTTCTCTGCGTGAAAATATTAGTTAGTAAAGGAAATATAAATATGTTTATATATTTTACCACCCAAATGAGGGTAAATTTGTTCATACATTGGGCAAAGTAATATTAAGATACTAACATGAATAACTTAAATTACTTGTCGTAACTTATGAGTAAAGGACACTTAATTTCAGGTAGAGTTTAAGTATATATTAATATGTTATATTTTTTGTAATATTACTCTTCCTTTAGTTCGTAATAACCAATTTATTAGGAAAATACTTATAAGTGTAAAGAAATACTGTTGTAACTCAAACTTAATTTTTTTTAGTTAATCACAGCCCTCAACTTTTATGCGTCAGGGTCCTATCAAAGGTTCATGGACCAAGACTTCACTGTTTGCATGTCTCAGCAAAGTGTGAGCAATTGTATTCTAAGTGTTTCATCTGCCCTCAACAGTGTGATGAATGATTATATTAGATTTCCTCTTCAGACAAGGTAATTGTTATACTCCATTAACAACTTTTTTATGCTTATAAAATATTTTTAGTGTAAGATTATACTTGCTTTAAACCGAACAAACTTTTTGTAATGAAACAAGAAACCTTATTAGAATTTAGGACAATTTTATGTAACATTGTTTGTTTAAAATCTTGCTTTTGTTAAACAAACAGAATATACAGATACATTTTATCAAGATTATTCTATTCCGTTTGATTTATTGAAAGATATTTCCATTTCTTATAAGTGTTTTAAAAATAAGTCTCTTTTTTAAGTGGCTAATTTTAAATTTTTTAACTTATCGTAGCAAATTGTGCCACTTTCTGTATCTTATCATTGAGAAAAACATTTTTTTTCCTGCAAAATATTTACTTAACATAATTTATAGTTGTGTGTTAGCATAGATAAATAAGAATTTAGAAATCCAAATGATTGTAAAACATAGAATCTGGTGCAAAAAAAAAAAAATGACTAAGCCAATACACCAGCTAGCACTCAAGATATGGAGTCAGCCTAAATGTTTTCAAACTTTATGAAGTTAATAGATATTAAGAGTTAATCATATTATGCCATACATGCTGTCCATTAAAAAACACAAAACTCAGTATAATAAACCTGTCATTCCCCTTTAGGTACACTATTTTTTGGTACATTTTTGTAGAATTTTATATACCTTATTACTTAAATTTTTATAAGCTAAATAAATAGAATCAGTTTTTTATCTTAGTATACATTAAAAACTTTTTCAGTGAACATGACTTGTTAAAACAAGAGTTTTTCGAATACTCTGGATTTTATGGTGTGATAGGCGCAATCGATTGCACCCACATTGCAATAATTGCTCCTAAAGATGACGAAGCTCACAGGGAACAGAACTATGTGAATCGGAAAAATTTTCCATTCACTTAATGTTCAACTTGTAAGACATATTTTTTTAAAAAATTATTTCTTGTTCAAGTCTATCTTTAGCTTGTATCTGTTATTTAAGTTCATTTACAGTCAATTTGTAATGTGTACATGTTCTCATCAAATATAATAACCATTAATGTAATACAACTTCAATATTTATAGGTTGTTGATATGCAGCAAAACATTTTGAATATTTCTGCAAGATTCCCTGGCAGCAGTCATGACTCGTACGTTTGGAAATCGAGTGAACTACGATGATTGCTTCAACAAGCCAAACTGAACGACACATGGTTCTTGGGTAATAGCTCTTATATTTATTAATCATGTGTGTACATATTATTTAAATTTAAGATCAATTAACCGTTTTCTATTCGAAAAAACTTTTCTCCACTTATTGTTTTTCATTAAGAAGTTTTTATAAATTTGTCCCATAAGAATAGACACAAATCCATTAACCAACGTACAGGTTCAGAACCACTATCATTACCCCAGCTCAATAAAAATGTCAGTAAAAATTTTTGTTGCAAAATTAATTTATTTCATTTAAAAATAATTTATATTTAGCAACTTTTATTTAAAAAAATATTAGTCAAAAAAGTCTAATACAGAATGTAAACATATTGAAAAGAGTAGATTTAAAATTATATTTCGTTTTTTACTCAATTTTTAAATTAATTCAATAACATAATTTTTTTAAATTTTTGTGATAGTTTCATCTAAAGGATGTATTTGAGACAAAACGTATCAGTTTTTTGTATTAATATAAAAGAAATGGCTTTTACTAATCTCATTTCTGAATGTAACTATAGTATTATAATATTCATAGCCTAATTGTTGTCTATTGTTTATTCGAATAGGAGATTCTGGATATCCTCTTGAGCCATGGCTGCTAACTCCCATCAGTGGGGACAACTTTTCTTCCTCTGAGGAAGAGTACAATAGGAGGCACGTTTCTTTCAGGGATACTGTTAAACAATGCAATGGAACACTGAAAAGTAGATTTCGGTGCCTTTTGAACATGGGTGCAAGTCTTCCGTCCACAGGACGGATTTCCGTCTTTCGAAAATGTCCGCGGACGGAAGTAAGACGGAAACAAAACTGACTCGAAGACGAAAATCGGAATTTTTTTTTTCTGTCCGTAAAAATATTTTTAGGTCTACGTTATTGGTCTACTTTCTTCTGTCCTGTTGTTATTTTATCAAAAGACAGATGCATAAATATTTTTTGTACAGTATTTAATGATGTATTATGGTAAAGCTTTCTTAGTTTGCATAAGTCGAGGGGATATTGTGTATGTTAGGTATTTCAGTCAAAAAATTTTCAGTCTTGGCCTTTTTTCCAACTTGCACCCATGCTTTTGAAGCACAGAGTGCTAAATTACTCATCAGAAACTGCAGCAAAAATCATAAATGCCTGTGCTGTGTTGCACAATATGTGCATCAAAGAGAATGTATTCTTGGAAAAAATAAGTATCTGCGGAGCCGATGTGCCTTTTGACACAGGAGTTCCCTTCAATCCAGGGCAACGGGAAGGTAATGTGAGAGAAAAAGTTGTACGTATGTTTGCTGTTTAATTGCTTTTTAAAATTTCTCACAAAAAATTAAAAAAAAAAAAAACTTAAGCACGCCAGAGCTATTTTATATAGTACTGCCAATCCTAAGCCTGGAAAAAGTGTGAAGGGAAGTTAGTGCATAAATAATCATTTAAACTAGTTTTTAAACACTTTCCAACTATCTGAACCACGTTCGGCTCCAAGCAGTTTGGATAACCGGCACTCTACTGTACATAGTATACATTTTTTTAAAATTTCTTGACAAGTATTTAAAGGATTAGTTCAAAACTTTAGAGGTACTTAGTTCATGCGATATTTCAGAGTGAGCAATAAAGTTTAGAGTTTTCAAAGGTTTCAGGAACCGGCAACAAATTACAAAAAAAAAAAACAAGTACTTTTGTACACTATATGCCAGCAAATAACTTTATCTTAATTATCTGACATTTTAAGTTTAATGTTTACTTTTCCATCTACGATGAAATACCAGTTTTGCATTTGTTTTTAGCCACCTTTTTTGTCGCCAGATATAATGTCATTTGTTGTGATTTAAGTTGTTGTACTGTAATGTAACTGATTTATTCTTGATCAACTTGTTTATATTATTTTCTCTTTTATGTCATTATCCAGAAATAAAAGATCAGAATCTTTATAAATAAAGATTTTGTGCTTGTTATGAAAATTTTTTTTTTTTTTTTCAAATTAAATGTTTTTTCTCAAATTTAATGTTTTGCCCTTATTGCTATCTATTAAAAGAAGGAGCTTTTCTGCGGGTTTAGTGTTTTTTTAAAATGAGGCTCTCCCTCTGTAAACTTTACAGGGAGTCAAAAATTGGAGCATTATCTTAAACACTACTTTAAATTGGGATATCCTCTCCGACCCGAAAGATAACTATTGTACTATTCAAGACAGCACCCCCCCCCCTAAGAACACGCCTGTTATTAATGATGGTGAGTCGCAGAGAGAGAGCAAGAACTCCGAAAAAGTTTAGGGGTTACACAATGAGATTGTCATTGGCGTATTTTAGTACCTTCGAATCCTGCTAAAATTCTTGAAGACTAGAAACTCGTCAATTCTCTCAAAAGAAGTTGCATAGTAGTGTATAAGAAGTATTTTAAATTAAGCTATGCACTAGTCATTTTTCATGTTATTACTGAAATAAACTTTTTATGGACTTTTTTTGTGTTCTGAAAGTATTAATACAAAAAAGTCGCTAATATTGAATCGAAATGGAAAAAAATTTGAACGAAGTTAAGAATGTTTCTTTCCTGAGATTGTAGCATACACACTCATATATTTGCGAGAATTGAACTTTTATCAATCTGAATCTAAAAATAAAATAATAACGAAAAATTAAAATAAACACCAAAAAATTTCTTATTTAAAAATATATATAATATAAGCCTTCCATATACATAAATATATAAAAGAATGACTTTAATTTAAACAAAGTAGAAAAACACCTACAGAAAATTTTAAATTAATATTAATTTTTATAAGTTATACTGTTTAGTTTCTTGCGGTCAATGGTAATTAACGTAATGCTAGGTTTAAATAAAACATGTTAGTTCGCATAAGTTTATTTCAAATCCTTTGACATACTGAGATTTCATCTTTTAAAATAATTTTCATTGTTAACTTAGTGTCTTTAATTTTGTTTGGATTGTAATTATTAATCAACGCTGACAGTTCATTCCTAATACAAGAGTCATTAACATGTGATAAGTCAAGTTCATCATTACTATACACCTTGTTGATATTAAATAAGCAAGCAGGAGCAAGAATCCTCAATATTGAAACAAGAACATTCATAAAAATCTTCATTCTTAGAATTACACTCAATTTTCAAATGAAAACTAAATCACAAAATATAAAATCCCGTCATTGTTAACAAAATATTTCCATAGAAAAAACGAATTTTATTTTACAAAAAAAAATATTGGCACACTCGAATTGCATTACTACCACTACAGATAAGAAGAATAAAACCTTATATTCACTTACTGAAACCGATTCATAACTTGTACTAAGACTAGAGTATTAAGTTACGTTCAGTGTTATTTTGAATTTCTCTATTCATTAAGTATGAGTCCGAAGAAGTGTGAAATTCCAGGCTCCACTCGAGAAAAGATAATATGTCTCCGTGAATTAGGAAAAAGTTATCGGGATATTGGAAAAAAGTTAAAATTGAGCTTTTCAACAGTTCGTTCCATTATTAAAAAAGTGGAAGAAACAGGATCCACGAAAAATAAACCCCGATCTGGTCGCCCAGTCAAAGTAAATGACAGGGAAAGGAGGCAAGTTGTTAAAATGGCCCTAAGAAATCCAACTCAAAGTGCTCGAAATTTAGCCAACGACTTTGCGTCAACTTCTGACAAGTCAGTGACGCCACAAACTATTAGAAATTTTCTCCATATGAGTAGTCTTCGGGGTAGGAGGCCAAGGAAGAAACCTTTTATTAGCGAGGTTAATAGGAAAAAGAGACTTGAGTTTGCTCTGACCTATCGAAGTAAGCCAATGGAGTTTTGGAAGCAAGTTATTTTTTCTGTTGAGAGTAAGTTTGAAATATTTTGGCCAAAAAGCATTTTAACTGTTTGGAGGAAAAAAGGTACTGCTCTTGATCAGAAAAATATCTTGTCAACAATTAAGCGTGGTGGGGGAAATGTGATGGTTTGGGGCTGTATGGCGCATAATGGGGTTGGAAATTTGGAAGTTATTAATGGTAGGATGACAGCTTTATCGTATATAGAGGTTTTGCGCCGTAACTTGAAATGCAGTGCTGGAAAATTTGGCCTCCAAGACACCTATATATTCCAGCAAGATAATGATCCTAAACATTCCGCGAATGTAACAAGGGAATGGTTGCTTTATAATGCACCAAGAAGGCTACGCACTCCCCCCCAATCTCTTGATCTGAACCCGATCGAACATCTTTGGCACCATCTAGATCAAGAAGTAAGGAATACCCACATTACGGGAAGAGTTTCTTTAGAATCTACATTGATTCATTCCTGGAATAATATTTCCTCAGATATTACCAAAAAGTTAGTAGAATCTATGCCACGAAGATTAGAAGCAGTCATTAAGGCCAATGGATTGCATACAAGATATTAAAAAGCAAATCACCGATAATGAAAAATGTTTTTTTTTTGTTTCAGTAAGTCTGCTAATACTTTTATTGCAAAAATATAATAATGTTTTTTTGTTTTAAATTCTGTAAAAGCAAGTGTGCTTTTTATTTTCACTTACTTTTGTTTTTACTATAATAAAGGTAAAGAAAATCCTAGTTTGGATTAGTTTGGTTATTTTATCTTGCAAGAATTTTAAATTAGCTTAGTGTGCTAATACTTTTTTTGTCAACTGTAGTTTTATTAATTTGCTCGTAAATCGTTGAATTTATTATTGCATCTACTTTAAGTTCATCCGAAACAGCGGCGCTGACCTTCAACCCTGACTCATTGGGATATAAAGACATATGGATCTGTATAAGTTTCGCTTTCCGTTCATCCCCAAAACATGACGTCAGCATTATATTAGATTTAGGAAAATCTTTTATTTTATTTGAATTAATCACCGATATTTGAGCCCCAGAATCAATTAAGGCCTTCACCGGGTGATTTCCATTCAAATAAATCTCAGCATACTGTAACTCGGGTTTAAAATTATTATCTCCAGATGGTCTGCAGGAATTAACACTAAAGCTTTCGTTTCTTAAGTTTTCACTGGGAGAGGTATTTTTTTTCTGATTTATCGCATCTGGAATCATATGTTTTTTTCAATCTCTTTTTGCAGTCACGCGCAAATTGATTGATTTCTCCACATATATAGCATTGTTTCTCCGCTCTATTTTGTTTATTTGTCGTTGGAGAAAAACGATCCGGGTGGTTTTTTCTGAAATCTCTGTTCTCGCTGCGAAAAAAAGTGTTCTGCCCATATTTACGGGTATTGGAAACTTCTCTGTAAGGCATATTTTTAGACGTAGTGTAAATGTCTAATTCTCGTTCTAACTCGACAGGATTAAACCAATTTTCTCCCTGGCGGATTAAAATATGACTGGCCATATCTTTATTTAATGTCTCAATTATTTTATCGGATATGATTAAGTTGCATAATGATTTAAATGTTTCAACTTTACGTAATTTGCAATAGTACTCGAAATGCGAATTTAAGCGAGTAGCAAATTGAATATATGTTTCTTCTTTAAATTTTGAGGCATTTTTAAAGTTATTCAAACATTCTTTGGGAGTTTGTTGAAAATCGCGCAATATTAAAGCTTTTAATTTTTCATAGTTTTTTAAATCCTCATCTTCAATGTATAACAAGATGCTGTTTGCTTTTTCACCTTCATACTATTTAAGATTTCGGCTTTAAGCCCCTCATTTATGTTTATTGTACTAAAAGTTCTTTCCAACGATGAAACAAATTTCTTAAAATTTTCAAGTTTAGATGAATTAGATTATTTCGGGTGTATCATTTAATGTTTTGGGAGGGTCAATTTCAAATGCTTTGTTTTTCGCCTCTAATAAAAGCATTTCTTTCTCGAGTCTTTCTAATTTTAGTTTTTCTAACTCAACTTGAATTTCGCTTTGTTTAAGTTCCCTGTCTGCTGCCTGTACTCTTTCTTCTACGGCGTTAGTTGTCAAATTTTTGACAAAATAAGAATCATTCTTAAATGTTACGGTAGATTCAATTTTTTCTTTTAATTTAACGATATTATCGCTCCTGTCTGCGGTACCTCCTATTTCCTCTAATACTTTTACTAGGTCTTCTTTCTTTGAATTTTTATAATTGAAAATTTCCTACTTTGATTGAAGAGACTCTCAGTGTCCAATGGTAATCCAAAGTTTCGTTGATTCAAACCAGATTCGTATCCTTTTTCGGTGACTCCGAGGATTTCACGATTGTACTTCCCGGAAAAGTTGACTGCCTTGCTGATTTGCACAGGATATTCCAATAATTTCAGGATGATTCGAAAGTTTCTGGATCAATTCTGTCCTTCGCGACAGATCCGGTTATTGCTGATTTAGGAGAGTTCAGAGGTCTCTGCTGCTGCTTTTCTCCAGTCGCTGATTTTTTGCTGCACTCTTCCTGATCCTCCACGAGCGTAGAATTTCGGTGAACAGTTCGGTGATTCCCCTACTCGGGATTTAAAACAGGAACAAAATCTGAAGCTCATTCTCAAGCGCAGAATTTCGTTTTTTTTTTTCGGTGAATATCCTCTTTTCTGGATTTCAAAAGTTATTTGGCTGAAAAATATCCCCTGCTCCGGATTTCGAAGTTGTTTGGTTAAAATCCCCTTCGCGGGATTTCAAAGTTCAAAAATAGTTACAGCTCGCAGTTCAAATCACGGTCGCAAGCCCGCCCCCATTATTTGTGGGAGTTAGTGCAGCATAGGAGTAAATAACGACGATAATTTAACAAACAGAACAATTTAATAGAAATAAAAAGGATAGAAGGATATAGCAGTTAACATTATTGACATGGCTCGTGAGATCTGCCTTCGCCCAGTAGTCTCCGGAATGCATGTGAATAAGAATTAGATTGTTCTATGGTATAAAGTCAAGAGTTACATAAATTCGAGAGTTTCCCTTCGGGACTTCCCCTTCTGGACTGGCTAGCGCCTTTCAATGGCAAGAAGGATGATGAAATCTCTTAAAGCATTACATAATGGAGAGTGATGTAATATTCTGAGATGTTACACTAAGAAAGTCTACATATATACAGTCGGACCCCGATTTAACGAACCCCTACTTAACGGATTTCGCGATTTAACGAATTTTTTTTTAACTCCAGCAAAAACAGAGTCAAAGACCCCTAATTAACGAATAATTAACCCCGAATTAACGAATTATTTCAGCATCCGGAAAAATTATTTTTCGTTAATTTTGATCAGAAAAATACTGCATTTTTTTGTAATTGGCAGATTCTAAAGGGAAAAAAAATCTTTCTTGGGAGGAATAAAATAGAAAAAGTGCATATTCGTCTCAAACAAAAGAAAAGCCAGCAACAGGGAAAAACAAAATTCGTCGTGGGTAGGTGGGCAGAGTCAATAAGACATTACACTTGCAAGGTCATTTTCCGGGGGTTTGTCACGTGGACTGTGAGTCAAACTGGAAATTCCTTTCGGATCTTAGATAGTCGTTTATAACTAGCAATTTTTAACAATACATATGTTCAAAAAACAAATTTTTTTGAACCCCGATTTTACGAATGACCCCGATTCAACGAATAAAATTTCCGGTCCCGATGAATTCGTTAAATCGGGGTCCGACTGTATATATATAAAAATTAAACATAAACTTAAAAAAAACTGAACAAAATGGGGAGATAAAACTTCTGCGATTCTTTCGAAAGCATCCGCTTTTCTTTTCTCAATAT